TTTAATTACCCAAGTTTGAGGTTTAATCATCCGAGTTGAGTGAAAATAATTCAAGAAGAATTTCAAGAACTCCTAGTTATTATCGCGGACAAGAAAGAATCTGCGACAGATGTTAATTTAAGCAAATTATAAGCGAAATAAAAATTCAATATTTTTTAGGCGAATAAAACAGATTATTTACAATTAAATAATTGTTGCTAATGCATTTTTTTTTCTTTGCATGCATTCTATATGTAATAAATATAATACGCAATCTATTTCAATATCATTTATTGTTTACTGACATTTTAAAATGGACGACGATAATATTGCAGTTGCACGCAAATCTAATGTCAGAGTAATTTGTCGCAACTCGATCGATCAACTGTTTGATTTATTTTAGGAGTGAAAAAACTTTTCTACCAAAAAATAGAATTAATTATTTTTTAAACTTATTCATATAATTTTTGCTTAAGTTTAGGCCAAATCTAGGACTACTATCTTAGATTTATTTTCTGAAATATTACATTAATTATAATTATGCATAACCGTATTGCATCCATTTGTAAATTGTTTGCAATTAATTAATAAAGTATATCATATTAATCGTTAATCAATATATTCTTAATTAATTAATATAATAAAGTTATACATATTTATATTTAATTGGGTATTAAAAAGTCCAAATGTTCTTTTTGCATTTACGAACGAATGAACATAAATGATGTTTAGTCAAATCGAAGGACTGGAAAAAAGCCTGAAATATCAACAGATGATACGACAATTACGCTAGCAGGATCAGAGAATCAATTACATCCACGTTTAAACTCACGTAAACATAAGCAGAATACCAAGTATGAAATCTTCCCTTACATCAAATAATCCGTCAATCACACGTCAAAGTAAAGAAAAAGAAAGTTAAAATTTATAATATATCACATTATGACGTAACAAATATGCATTAAAAACTTGTATGATTTGATAAACTTTTTAATTCTTCATAAATGATCCCTATCGATTTTTTGTTAACAATTCTTAATTTAATTCTGCTACAAATTTTAACCTCCTTTTTTGATCTAATTGTTTAATTAATTTTGAAATGTGCAGTAATAATTATGAATGTTTTGTACTAACTTTAATAAATTTGTTTCAGATCAAGGAAAGACATAAATTTATCAAAAAATGAACGATTAAAGCTAGGTTATGAATGTTCGAAAGACTTTTTTTCACAATCTAAAAATTCTTTCGATGAAGTGGAATTACGAAAGAAAGGATTAGCGAATAATGAAATTAAGTACTCTTCCTTTCTTTAGTTTAAAAATGAAATAATGTATAAAAAAAAATCTATGACCTCTTTTGACCTCTTCTGAAATAATTCTGGTGCTTTTCTTACAAATATCAACCTTTTTTTTACAAAATAATCAAATGTTGCGAAAGTTCTAAAATTCCTTTCGATAAACTGTTTTTTTTGTGATTGATTCTTTTTTTGTCTTTGTCACTAATTTTTTTTACCAATTTAAATTCTGATTTACTCCTCAAACTAAAATCAAAAAATGTAAAAAGTCTCAAAAGATTAAACTTATTTTCCTAAAAACTTTTGAGGATTAATTTGAAAGTTTTTAATTTTTTCGAGAATTGACTTTAAAATTTTTAATTTCTTTTTTTAATTTTTTTTAAATTTCAAAAACATGCATTGACTTGCTTATTTTAATATTTTGCTGAAATTTCATGTTGCTTTTCAGTACTAATAATGAATGGGAAAACCATCAGTGAATGATAAAATGAAAATATCAAAAGGAAGAATTCAGCATAGATCATATTATGGCGTAGGTAATCCGGATCCGTCTGCTAAAAAGTGCGGAAATTTTTTGTCTGAAAATCTTTTGCTTTTCAAAAAAAAAAAAATGAGAATTTTAACTGTTTAGTAATTTGCAAATGTGTATGCGGACAGAAATTTAATTCAAACAAGGGCCAAAAAACAAATTCGATTTTTCTTTAAAAATTATTAAAATTTAATTAATTGCATTTATCAACCTAACCACAAGTGTTTGAAAATGACCATCTGATCTTCGTCTTTTTTCATTTTTCACTTCTTTGATATATCAGTTATTAATTAAAATACCAGCTTTCAAGTGAGGAATACCAATAAATATTTTATTTAACAATTAAATCTTAAGAAACTGTAATTAATTCAAAAAATCATAGTTACTCCTTTCGTTTTTGCTTTCACTTCCATCTGGAAATCATTCATTTCGAATCAATATATCAATTGCAAAATAAAAATAACAATCAAAATAATAATTAACGGATATTTTGAAATCGATGAAAAAAAAATACTGAACAATATTTATTGAATTACTAAATTTTTAAAAATTGCAATTAATTCAAAATATCGTTTTCCAATCTCATTCAGCTATATTACGGATGCTGAAATTAATACCCGTGGTTACATCGATCGAAACGGTCAAATTCACTATTCAATTCCCATTTTTTCATTAGCAGTCGAATCGAAAGATACCGCAAAAGGAATTGAACATGTTATTAACAGCGAAAAGTATTGTTATTACTATTTTCCCTTTTTCATAGATATAATTTAGTTGATATGATTAATTAACGGATATTTTGAATTCATTATTTCAAATTTCAAATTCAAATTCATTTCTGATTCATTTCAAACTTAAATTCATTATATTAGTATTTAGCATTATTAATATTTACTAAAATTCCTGTCAAAACAATTACTTAATTTTGCATATTTCATTTATTAATATTTTCTGTTCTTATAATCAATATCAATAAATTGAGTGGAAAAGGATTTTTTTTCTTTTATGCTATAATAATTCATTATTTATTATATTTAATTTTTCTTAAAGCTGATAGTACTAACTGTGATAATTACAATTTATTATATATTATTATTCGTATTATTGTCATTATTATTACTATCCTTCTCTTATTATTATTATTATTGTTATTATTATTA